ATTAGTGCTGTTCTCACAGAGAACATGCTGCTGCTCTGTTTGCTTTGCTGTGTCCAGTTCACCTGCTAGCATGCTAAGACAGTTGCCCATCTCTCATACAGTTTGTGAAATACCAAACTCAAGGAAGAATGGGCAGAATCACTGGACTGTGTAAATCTGCAAGGCTTTTTCACTTCTGAACTCTTCCAGCTCGCTTCACCTTCACATTCTGTCACTGTCTGTACAACACTGTTCAAATCCACAGTGTCCTTAAATTCACAAGACCCCAGAGTTTCTGCAAATGATGCTGGGATTTTTAACATTTTTTTAAATAGTAAATCATGTCTAAAATGGTTAAATTAGGGTTGAATAAGAGACATGTTCATTACATAGGCCTGCCTGGACCTCCAGGACCCCCAGGAGAGAGAGGCTTCAATGGGTTGCCGGGCCCCAGAGGTCCCCCTGGACCTCCTGGACGACATGGAGAAAGTGGTGCCCGAGGCCTGCCAGGTATGATGGACACTCTACATTTGTACATATCGTGGTATTATAAAGACTCATCACTGTGGATTCTCATTTGAAAACTCAAATTCAGAAATGAATTGTTCCAACAATTATCTCAACGTAGCCATCAAACAAACGCTGTTGGAGTCACAGCCAGAGAATTCTGAACGTGGTAAATTCAACGTAACGTCTAGACAGCAGTGTCGACACACTGAGCGAGCTTGTTTCACATTTATTGCTTACCTACAAAGGCCAGAAGACATTTCATGTAAAAATTCTGCTGAAAATCTGAAGCACCATTCGTGGAGATCACCATTGTTCAGAAGCAAACAAGTGACGTGACTCCGTTGCTTCTTTCTGCTGTTGAGGTAAATAAATGACTCTTCAGAAGAAGTTCCAGCCTTAAACAGGCTGATAGCTGCTCGTGGTGCTTTCTGTTTTCCCACATTTTCTAACTGCTGCTCTGGTTTCTTGCAGGTCCCAAAGGTGAAACAGGTATGTCCTTTTCAAGAAAAAGTTTTCCCAGTAACTGTTTTGTCACAAAAAAAATTCAAACAGAAAACAAGAAAATTTGCAAAGTGGACAATTCATGCACGGTCAGCAGGAAGCCCGGCAGCCTCCAGCTGACCTGAACCATGACAGCTGCAGTTTGCTCCTGAATGTAGAAACCTGCAGAGCGTGGAGGCAAAGCGCCGCAAACACACACCTATAAAAACCCCGTCAACAGAATCACAATCTGTTTTATTCTCATGATGCAGCATCTCTGCAGTCCTAATACTGAAAATGAGCACCAATACTAAAGAGGCGAGGTGCACCCATTTTTAGGGGCAGGCTCACTTCGTAGGATCAGTATACGGTCCAGCACTACACAACCAGTACCATCCAAACGGTGTGTGGTGACTGTAGCCTCTTGGTAATCTGTTGGTAGGGTTGCTGCACAGCTTTGTCCAGAATGTTCTTCTGTGCGTGTCTCTCTTGTCTGACTCTGTCTCTGTACATGTTCAGGTCTTCCTGGTGCTGATGCTCATGTTCCCAGACTCTCGTTCTCTGCTGCCCTCACTGTCCCCATGGACAGAGCAGGAACCATTGTCTTTGACAAGGTCTTTGTCAACCAAGGAGAGTTTTATGACCCAAAAACAGGTGGGACTTCCATGAACCACGAGCTTAGGAGTGTGGTTCCCAGTTTTTCTGGTCCTCGTGCTGACATGTCCTTCAACAACACACTGAATCTTAGAACCAGTCCTGATGACTGGACCAGAAACTTGTTTGACTGGGACCAGTAACCCTACCGCTTCTTTCTATTGCATGATTCTAAACTGTATCATCCTCAGTAACTGAATGAGGTTGTGTTGTGCTTATTATTGAAGTCCTGATCAGCGACGAGCTGCAGGTCAGTGAATGTGACGTAAATCAGATAATGACATTGGCTGTGTGTTCCTCTGATCTGTTGATCTCTGACATGTTTCCTGGTGTCGTGAGCTTTAACCAGACATAAATGTGTCCCTTTCAGGTATTTTTACCGCCCCAGTAGATGGACATTACTTCTTTAGCGCTATCCTCACGGGTCACAAGAACGAAAAGATTGAAGCGGTCCTGTCCAAGTCGAACTATGGCATGGCCCGGGTGGACTCAGGAGGCTACCAGCCTGAAGGCCTGGAGAACAACCCTGTGGCCGAGGCTAAGGTCACTCCGGGCTCACTGGCTGTCTTCAGCATCATCCTGCCTCTCCAGACTCGAGACACCGTGTGCATTGACCTGGTGATGGGCAAGCTGGCCCATTCTGTGGAGCCCCTCACCGTCTTCAACGGCATGCTGCTGTATGAAGACATGTGACGCTCCAGAGCAACGTCTGAGAAACAACGAAGCCAGAAAACCGAAACAACGCTGCTTCAGATTTATGACCAACCCACAGGAGGCGGGCCAGTACACCATGATGTCACTTCCTCATTCAGGAATGATTCAGTGACAACAGTTTTTCAGTGAAGCTTCTTGGAAAGATTTGTTCCTGCAAATCCCACACTGTCTGCACAGGGACCTGCTTGACTTGTTCTTCCTGAAGAGGCTGCAGGTCTCTTCCTGTATGGACCCAGCATGAGACTCTTTAAATCCATCTCGTTGATCTGATGTGGTCACATGATCTGACGTCAGGGCAGCACTGTGACAACCAATGATCAGCCGACCCCTGCCAGACCTGCTTTGTTTAAACAGCAGGCTAAAGCACACAAACTATTGTGCTGAAGAATCCCAGTGTGCGAGTCTGAAGGGCTGCTGGTGCCCCCTAGAGGCTGCAGAGTTCATTACAGTCGCAAACGTTTCAAAGATTTACGATTAGATAGTTGTCATCTCCCCACCCAAGGGTGGTCCTACACCAAATATTGTAGATTATTTAAATGTAGGAGCAGAAATGTTATCAGGACGTTTATTGATCGTCTGACCCGATGTTTAGAAATCTGTTTTGGATCATTTGAGAGCTACATGTGTAGACACAGTTGTCTTGTATAAAGTTTGAGTCCCCCTTGTGGGCAAATGAGCTCGCCTTCAAGTGTTAATGCACTGTTAGGATGTATTTAATGACCTGAACAATAGAAAGACATTCAGCAGTGTCCAGCCAGTGACTGTCTGCCCCCTCCAGGCTTATCTTTGGTGACTGTGGCCACAGAGCTCATTTTGAACTTCCTCCATCTTGAGAGCTGCTTTGTCTTTTCCAGATGTTGCTCTGCAGACTTTAGATGTTTCATGTGTGATGAGGAAGCAGGTTCGTTTTTCCATGAAGTTCCAGTTTGTCTAACCCTCTGCCCGTATTGACATAACCCTAAGACAGGCTTTGCTTTGTCTTTCTGTCCCACTGGCTGAGCTGAATGTTTTCTAGGCGCCAGTTACCTTTATTTTGAGATCCTCAGTTGTTGAGGGGAGCCAGTGGTATTTATGATCAGCTGAGATACTTGTAATGACGATCGCCATACAAGTCAGTGAGTGAGACCGACTGCTCAGATGTTCCTGTACAGCTGATTCTCTGACTGGTGGATGTTAAGATATCTGTTAACGAATATCTTCTGTGATTGTGGACCAAAGGATTGGATGGACAGCTCACTGCCAACCTTTACCCTGTAGATCAGATGTTGCCATGGTGACACGTGAAACTGTGACTTAAAATCTGATGAGAACCAAAGAAAGCTATGTGCTCTGCAGCTGTCTGCAAGCAGAGTGTTTGTGACTGACATGAGTTCACATCGTGAATATTTTTCTATTAAGTTGCACCTTTTCTTGCTTTGTTGGTGTTTTTATGTTCGACCAAGTTTTAATTCACAATCACAAAATGTCACATTGATGGAAAATGTTCAAAGACGAGGCTGAAAATACTTCACATCTTCTTACTGTCAATGAATCCCATTAAAGACCCGTGTTGGGGACATATTTAGACACTTTACTAAGTAATAACACCATGCTGCAACAGGACTAAACTATCATACATCTATGGCACACAGCACCTGTCAGCAAGCAGTAGCGCTGGTTGGAGTCCATACATGGGTTTTGATGACAAAAAGAAATGTTCAGTCTTGTCAGACTTGTTTCAGACTGACGTTAAGCACACGCAGTGGAGAACGATGGACAACGCACACAGTCAGATGTTTCCTCTGATGATGGTGTTTGCTTTGAGGAGAACTGTGATTATTATGACAACTGTCTGAATCTAGTATTTAAATGTTTCCATCGTATATCTGAAACACATTCAGCAGCTCCATCGATCTCCATCTGTCGTCAGTCACTGAGCGGGATGCCAGGATGTGTGATGGCTTCACACCAGCAGCCTGTTTGTCACAACTGTCTACAGATGAATGGATGAACTTGTGGCAACAAATATTTCTGTCGCTTATACTCTGATTAACATTACCACTTAGAAAAGAGACGTGAAGGGCCGTCCTTCTTCCTCAGTGGATTTAGGAACTGCACTCTCTCATGTAAACCTGTTGTTCTCACTTTTATATTGATGGATAATTTTCACTGTCATTAAAGAAAAAAACTGTCAAATCCTGAAGGTTGATGAACAAGCTGTTTATCTGTGAGACCCATCAGGAGTCGCTGTCAGCTCCCAACACATCACACCAAACACGAGCCATGACTGCATATTAGTGGTTCATACAGAAGGTGTGAAGGCACAATGCACAGTGATGTCCTGGGAAACAGAGTGACAGAACACAAAATAAACATGAACATAAAAATCAAGTTTGGCTTTGGTGAAGAAACAACGTAGTGCTATCTGTGTGTCATCATTTCATTTCTTTTTGCCACCTTCACCTGTTTCCACATCCCTGGGTCCAGGTTCTGAGCCTTAGTTGCCATCCTCTCCTGCTTCAATATCTTCCTCGTCAGGCTCAACAGTGTCTCCACTGTCCAGGCAGAGGATGTGAAAGATGGGGCAGGAGGTGCCGAGGGGTATAAAAGTGTGGCCTACTTTGGAACCTGAGAGACATGAAACGCCAGCAGGTCTTCATCCAAAAAGATCCTGGACCGGTCGGGCATGGAAAAGTGTGCCAGAGGGCGGGTTGGGGTGAGGTATCTGCAGCCAGGTCTACACGAAACTGCAAAAATAAATGTCAAGGTCTGGGATCCGCACAGCTGGTTAGTGATGTCCTGGTCCAGGGTAGACAGCATTTATTTACGTAAAATGACAAATTAGTGTCGAAAATGAGTGACACAAACTAATTATTTTATTGTACCAAAATTATTTTTTAAATGTTCCAAAGGCATACAAATTAAATAACTATTAATTATTAATAATTTCAATTCAATTTCCCCTCTAAAAAAAAAAATAGAATAGAGTTTTTGCTGCAGCTTTTTAGTCACTTAGTTTAGTTAGCTCAATCCAAACGTCACATTAGTGGCCTTCCTGGTCACAAACGATGGAAAGATCTTACTGGTGTAGAAGACATGAGATCCCAGTGGGTGGTCCACAGCCGCTGTCCCTCCTGGTGGTAGAAACCAGCCCAGAGCGGCCGGACACAGCTCCTCCGTCACACCAAGACACCGCACACAGTCCGGCTGCTACAGCAAAGACAGGCTTCAGACAGCCCGCTGGAACATGGCCGGTCTGGAGCTCGTCTCCTCGTCCCACGGAGCACTGAGCCAACGTCTGTCTGAACTGAAGAGGAGGAGAAGGAAACAGTGCAGATAACTGGTGACATTCAGTCAGCGAGGCAGCTGTTACAGCGACAGTGTAGACCATAGGTGGCCGTGCCGACGCCTGTTCCAAAAACACAAATGTCCTTAAACTCTTGCAGATGTTCTTGCTGTCAGTGTTAACACTGGCTCCACTCATCGCTCTGAGGTGAGTCGAGGCTGTTCAGCCTACAAGTGAAACACACGGTTTGAAGAGAGCTTCACTCGGTGGAGTGGAAACATCTCTGAGCCGCCGTGGAGTCTCCACCAGATCAACTTGTGACAGGATGTGGCGTCAGTGTGATGGTTGGACAGTCACACGTCCCAGTTGAACCAGTGATGTGTATGTAGGCTCCACATGGTCCGTTCACAGGTTCGTTCCAACCAGACCTGTCTGTGTGTGAAGATAAAGATACGACGTGAAGAAGACCTTGCAAAAGTCGACATCAGTCGTTGAACAGCGTTGCCACCTAGAGGACGTTACCAGCAAGCGCTTGTCAACTGCTGTAGTGTCGCAAATAATGACTTAAATATGCACATGAAAGAAGAATGAAAGACTGAACCTGAACATTTGTGTGATGGCACAGTGAGACCCCTAGCCCTAACCCTAACCCTAA